CCCAGTAAGATCAAACTGAACTTGGCTCAGACAGCAGGTAGGATCCAGACAGGGCCCAGGGACTCACGAATGCACGCGTAGGGATCCGAGATGGTCTTGAGGGGGTCCCTGTAGAAGAGGGGCCTGCAGCGGTCGCAGTGCTGCCCCTCAGTGTTGTGCTGGCAGTCTTCACACACGCCCCCGCTGAGGCCACCGCTTGCCAGGTACATAGTCATGTCGAAGTGACAGCGGCTGGAGTGGCTGTTACAGCTGCACGCTGAGAGGAGAAGAAAGTGACTGAGAGGTGGACCAAGGCCTCGGGTGGCACAGCCAGCACCTCCGCACTGGTCAGGGCACCCACTGGTCCTCCGTGTCCTCCTGCCACTTTGTGTTCTTTGTATAGATGTACCAAGAAAACAAAGGGAGAAAATGTGTGCTCTCAGGGGATCTTTCTAGTACTCTGATTCTGCTCCAACGCTTTCTATAAAATGTGCTCCCGATACGTTAAATATGTAGTTTTTAAAAATCAAGTGAACAAAAGTAAATCATTTCGGTGATCTAAAGTCACAGCGTACAATATTTGTGGTATTCATTAAAGGATGCTTTTACTGACTTATGCTTTGTGCAACTGACATTTTTACATGAAATGTTCTGCATGCTCTGGGATTCCTAGAGAAGACGGCAAAGCTCAATTGGCCTGGCCTCTCCACATAAGCAGGGAGCTGCAAGGGCTGCGGTCAATTTTATCTCATCTGAGGCTGGGCCAGAGGCCTGGAGGGAAAGGCAGTCTGTTTGGAGGAATTTGTCTTCATGGTAATGTCTACACTGTTTGTCTTTTTGGTTCTTTTCCTGTAAACAGTCTAAGGTCAGGCTGCATTTTCCTGGGTCTTGTATACTGTGACTCTCATGGATGAGGCTTTTTTATTAGAGCTCTCCTAGGGACATTTCATTCCCTCAAATTGTTTTTCCTAGTCAGGGAAAAAGAAATTGAATAACAAATTTGTTTGCAAGTTCATTAAAATTCAGAGGCAGCAAACATGTTAGCCAAAACAAAACCAGCATCTTATTAGCCTGAATATTTTATTTAAAACAATACAATAGCCTGTCAAACTCAATACTGAGCCTCATTTCTCCTATTATCCTACAGATGGGTTTAAGGTCACGCTCATGGAATGTATGACTATTCAGGATGACAGTACAGATCTCTGAACCAAATCTAGTGTTCACCAAATTCTTGGAGTTGCCTTGTCCCTGCTGATATTGCCATTACATGGCTCTGTACCTCTACTGGAAGGGTGCCACACAACATGCTTACTGTTTCATTTTTAAAATTAAACAATTTGTGGTGTGAGGATTGGAGAAGTTGGCAATTCTTCTATGTGAGATAATTGGGAACATCGGGATATCACACTATAGGAGCTGGGAGGACAGCCTCAGCACTTTGGTGCCTGCAGCCCCACAGAAATGAACAAAGTGTTTCTCAAAATAAGGAAACTTAGAGCACACTCAGTCTATGCAGGGAACTGAGTTTCACCCACATCTGCAAGCGTTGTCCTGGAGGTCTGCAGCTGGCCTCCAAGGAGCATCCTGGAAGAAGTCCTTGCATCTCTCACAGTTTGGACCATCTGTATTGTGCTGACAGACACACTGACCGTGAACCTGCATTGTGCAATAAATAGAGCATTAAAAGAGGGCTTGTCCTTGGGGACGTTGGGGTTCTTTAAATGGGAAATGAAATACCAGGTCCTGGTACCTCTCTGATCCTTAGTTTCCCGTATGTTAATTACAATACTGACCTTGACTATCTTCTATTATTTTCTTAACTAGTTTTAAACTTTATAAAAATTTAAAAAGTTCAGTGAATTTCTAAAATACAATACTGTTTTTTGGCTTTTCTAAGTTCTAGTTTCAGGGCAGCACATTGCAGCCCTCAATAAAGTGAGGGACAGGATGGCTAAGGGGTTTGTGTGGAGTTGTGGGGGAGTGGTATATGGGATTGTTTAGGAGCATAAGAAAAAAGAGGGAGTTAGAAAAGGGAACGAAGCTGAAGAAAGCCATGTGATTCTCCTGGATTTTCCCAAAATGCTCTAAATGACCCACATGCAGAGAGAGAAGTTCTGTTTCCAGTGAATGGGAAACAGTGTAGCTGAATGGGAAGGCACACTAGCTGAACATTAAGCCTGTGTGAATATGCCTAATAAATAGTTGACATTTATTTAGAAGACACACTCCATGGGACTCTGCATAAAACTACAACTCTTCTACAATATCTTTTAAGGCTAGTGCCCCCGGATGAGAGAGATCTGCAGTATTAAGACACGGCCATTCCCAGTGTAAGAATGTTACTTGGATTGAACATTTTACAACATCAGATATTGCTGAAATACCTTAGCATTGACTACAGGGTCTTGCACACAAAAGTCCTTCAATAGATTTTTGTAAGAGAATGAATGTGAAATTATTAGGTTGGTGCAACAGTAATTTCAGATTTTGCAATTAAAAGTGGTGGCAAAAACAGCATTTTTGCACCAACCCAATATGATCCCTCTCTACCAAATCTCCATGCTCTACAAAATAAATGAAAAGAGGGCAAGATGAAGTATCTTGAAATCCTAAGTATAAATTCTGCTCACTAGTTCAATGATGTCCATATGCCGCAGAATCCACAAACACCTGTGGCTGGAGGAACTGGAGGGTCCCAGGTGGCCTATTAGGATAGGCTGAATGGCACCCACGCAAGCATAAAACTGGCACTTAGATTTGTTGATCTCCATGTGGAGCGCCTCATCTACATTCAGCACCAGGACAGTGAAAGGCAGGTAGGACAGCCCACTGTTCTTTCGGATTAATAACTCACCATTCCAGGAGGGCTGAAAACATCTCCCCGCACCTTCTGCATAGGGCGACATTCGCTAGCATGGCCATTGCAAAAGCAGCTTCCCCGAACAACCATCTCGTACAGAGCATAGTAGTATTTATCAAGGGAATCATTTTGCCTCCTTCCAAGCAAAGTATCCCCAAGGGTGTGGAGCTTGGTAAAGTTTATCCTCAGGTTTGTCAATGTCACAAGGTCTAAAGAAAGGAAAATAATGAATCAAAGTGAATTTGAGGCGCATCAGTTCAAGGGACTCTTCTTGACTGATATACCCTTAATATACTATAGAAAAGCGATTATAGGCCCAGTGTGGTGGCTCGCGCCTGTAATCCCAGCACTTTGGGTGGTCGAGGCAGGAGGATCCCTTGAGCTCAAGAGTTCAAGACCAGACTGGGCAACATGGTGACATGCCATCTCTACATAAAATACAAACATTAGCCTGGCAGGGTGGCACATGCCTGTAATCCCAGCTACTTGGGAGGCCGAGGCACAAGAATTGCTTGAACTCAGGAGGCGGAGGTTGCAGAGAGCTGAGATCACACCACTGCACTCCAGCCTGGATGATAGAGCAAGACTCCGTCTCAAGAAAAAAAAAAAGAAAGCAATTACAAGGAATATGCCAAACTTGAAATTTTTTTAAAGCTGATATGAAAAATATAAAGGAATTCATACCTTGGATGTAGGGGCTATAAGGGTTTTCAATTTCAAAACTGGGATCCAAAACTTTCAAAACAACCTGTAAAACAAATATAGATAAATTTATAGTATATTACCCGAAAATGTAATTGTCAAACACACTTTTTTTTTATACCTCCGAGGCTCAAGCAATCTTACTACTTCAGCCTCCCAAGTAGCTGAGACCACTGGCATGTACCACCATGCCCAGCTAATTTTTAAAGTGTTTTGTAGAGGTGGGGTTCTCCCTATGTTGCCCAGGCTGGTCTCGAACTCCCAGGCTCAAGTGATCCTCCTGCCTCAGCCTCCTAAAGTGCTGGAATTACAGATGTGAGCCATCACACCTGACTGTGAAATGCACTTTTATGGAAGAGACCCTGATCTTACAAGAAGGCTGAGCTATTGCTTCCCAGCTGGCACAGAATACAGATTATCATTTGGATTACCATATGAATAGAGGTACCAAGAGCAGAAATAAATGAAAGGTATTAATCAGTCATTTCTAGCTTTTTATGTACAAGTGGTTCATACAGGCAGAAAAAGCAAAGAGAACACTTATGCTGGATTGGGATGGAGTGATGGACAATTTGGCAAGCCATGATCAATTTGGATTTGGTGGGGAATTCTGGAGCTGTCTTCTGCCACTAATTCTTTCTGCTACACCTGATAAAATAGTACCTGTTCAATCCCACTCACTCCAACCTTCTGCCAGGCACCAGCTTTGCTCAGAGGGTTGTTCCTGGCAGATTCCCCTGGGGTGGTGGTTTACAGAGCACGGGGATGAGATAGCTAATGCCAGGCTGCAGCTAGCTTACATGGCTCCTCTGCAAGCTTTAGAAATGGGTGTTCCTTCTTCTGGGTGCCTGGGGCCATGGTGCCCCATTTAAGTTTTATCCCACTCCCACCTTCAGCTGAGCACTCTTGTGCAGGATTGCTTCTAAAAACGTATTTAGTATTTATTTGGGACTCATTTCAATTTAGACACTTTCATTTTTAAAAAAGCAACAGCCCAAATTATGTTGCAGTAAACACTATCAAAATTTTTTCATTTAATTACACTTTTTAAAAGTTTAATTTATATAAAATAAATACAAGGAAGGAAACGCTACCTCTCCACCTGTTGAGGGTTCAATATCCGAGTATTTGGAGTCACAAACAATGTCTCCCACTCCCTGGGCCTGGCCAGGTGTGATGTTAGGAAAGGAAGTGGCACAGTCTTTTGCAAAATATTTGAACACTTTCCAGGTGTGTCCATAGTCTGTGGAACGTTCAACTAACATTGCAGCAGGCCGAAAAGTCTAGGAAAAATGAGTAAGTTGGCACATTTCACAAAGGCAGATTTTATTATCGACTTCAGATTGAATATTTATATTTTCTAATTCCATTTTTAAAAACTTTAGGTGTATCTTTTTGTTGTTTGTTTTGTTTTTGAGATAGGATCTCACTCTGTCGCCCAGGCTGGAGTGCAGTGGCATGATCTCGGCTCACTGTAGCCTCAACTTCCCAGGCCCAGGTGATCCTCCATTCTCAGTCTCCCGAGTAGCTGGGACTACAGGTGCATGCCACCATGCCCAGATAATTTTTTTGCAGAGTCAGAGTTTGCCATGTTGCCCAGGCTGTTCTCAAACTCCTGGGCTCAAATGCCCACCTCAGCCTCCCAAAATGCTGGGATTACAGGTGTGAGTCACTGTTCCTGGCCGGGTCTATCTTTTAAAATCTACTACACAATACACACACCACAGTCTCTTTTCAGTATTTATGAGTACACACTTTGTCCTCCTAATCTAATTACATTATAAAAATGTTTATGGCATTGTGAATTATTAATGAAGAAAGATGGCTTATAAATTGAAAAGTTAATGTAGTTAATACTTTACAGCAATTTGTTGTGATTCTCTTTGCCAAGCATGCTTTTCCTCTGGCAAACTCTTATACATCCTTCAAACCTATCCATGAAGTTTATCCTGGTTCCCCACAGCAGATTTAGCCCTTTAAATTTCCCAGCATTTTAAATCAATCATACTGCTAATTCTGTACTTATCACTTTGCATTATAATTTTCTATTATATTTATATGTTTGTATCCATGACTAGATTGGGAGTTATTTGGAGACAAAGAGTGGTGGTTTTTGTTTTCATTTTTTAAATTTCATATTCATTTTTTCTTACCAAAATGAGCATAAAGTCTGACATCAAAATTAGAGTTTTCCTGAATGATTAAAGAAGCACTCTAGCACAATGATTTTCTCTGGCATCTGACTCACCTTAGTAAAGACTCTTTTTTCCTTCCCCTTGATCACAACCTTTCCATATTTACCTGAATAAGTTCCAGTTCCTGCCCTTTCCTCCCAAAAATTATCTTTATAGGTTTTGTGGTTCCTATCACCTCAGTACTGGGAGTTTTCCTTTTCTCTGTGTCTCCTAATTTTTAAAAAAATCATATAGTCGTGGCCATTGATTTTTAAAAAGTGTTTGTTTTTCTTCATGTAAGAGTCAAAGCTCAGGTGGCAAAGGTCAAGTCTGAACTTATTCTGTTTTTGTTCACTGCAAGGAAGCAAGGCAGTGAAATTCCAGATAAACACTGAGCATTTGGGGAGTAGATAAAAGAGGGGCAGCAGGCCTATTCGTCTGTACCTTAAAGGTCAAGATAAGGTGGCTGAACCGAAATAATGCCTCTAAGTCCAGTCTGATGCTGACATGATCAAGACCTAAGGAAGAATCCAGAAAGAAGAATATCAGTGAATTTGAGAGACTCCTGTTTATCATGTTAATTCCCCACTGTGGCTTATCTGTAATAAAATCTCTTTGATGCCACAAGGCTGATGATCGCTTTCCCCGTCTGTTGGAGTGGTATCCCATGCCACTCCAAGCCCAGCAGGTGTGGAGGGCAGGATACGTTTCACCTTGACGGTGCCCACATCTGTGTTTTAGTGGCAACACACATGGCCACTATGTGGCAGCATTACATATAACCAAGGGAGTTTCAGAACATTTGCCCTAGGTGGAAAGAGAGAAAGAGAGGTTTCATTTCCTTGTACTAAAATCTTGACTACACATAAACATGAGCTAGCTAGCCAGAGGATGGTAAAAACCAATGCACCCGTTTCTTCCAAGAGTTGCTAAATGTCATTTGAACTAGAATTTCATTGTCACCTGGCATATAACACAACTTGGAATATTCCCCTTGGATTGGGGACCTGTGGGCTCTTCTGTGGCTGAGGTGGTGGCAGAGGTACCCTGGTCAGGGTTTTACACCAAGCTAGTTATGATCCATCTCTAGCACAGATGTGGGGTATCAGTCCTAACCTGGACACAAAAGCAGCCCAGATCTCTCTAGAGCAGCACTGTCCAACAGAAATAGAATATGAGTCATGTATGTAGTTTTAAATTTTCTAATAGCCACATTAAAATAGTAAAAAGAAACAGACAAATTTGTTTGTAATAATATACTTAAACCAACATATTTAAAAGTTACTTTGACATATAATCAATATTTTAAAAATTAGTGATTTTTTAAAGACAGAGTCTCACTCTGTCCCCCAGGCTGGAGTGCAGTGGCAGGATCTTGGCTTACTGCAACCTCTGCCTCCCGGGTCAAGGGATTCTACTGCCTCAGCCTCCCGAGTAGCTGGGACTACAGCCTTGCTCCACCTTGCCGGGCTAATTTTCATATTTTTAGTAGAGACAGGGTTTTGCCATGTTGGCCAGGCTGGTCTCAAACTCCTGAGCTCAAGTGATCTGCCTATGTTGGCCTCCTAAAGTGTTCGGATTACAGGTATGAGCCACCGCACCCTGCCAGAAAATCAGTGATTCTTTATTATACATTTTCTCCCAAACTATGTCTTAGAAATCTGGGATGTTTTTACACTTCCAGCCCATCTCAGTTTGGATTAGACATGTTTCAAGTGCTCACACTGGACAGTATGGCTCCAGAAGACAGTGGCTGGACTACAGTGAATCGGGGTTCAGCCTAGAGTTCTAGGGTGAAAAGCTTAGGGACATGTTTGCTGCTAAGTGGGCAGCCACATTGCAGGCTGAGTGTCAAGAGTCCTAACCCTTTCTAGAAAGGAGATCTGTCCTTCTCTCTAAGGTGCTTTGTTGAGAATCCTTGCTCTATATCATTGGCTTGGACAGAATGACATTCCCTTTGTGAGGAGATGTGGAACGAGTGTTAGATGTGGGGGTCAAAACAGCCATTAAGCAAAAATGGCACCATTCATCAGGAGGACAGGTGGCTGTGGAAAAAAACACCTCACATTCATTAAGGAGAGTCCAGCTGGAGATCAATAACTAGGATCCAAAATGAAATGGCATTTAGTAGACACCAGTCAATCATTGGTCAAGTGGATGACATAAATAAAACAGCCTCATATTATGCTTGCCCTAAACTATCTTATATATTATTATTATTCCCACACTCACTTCTAATGGTCTAAAATCTCCTAAAGGAAATACATTCAGGAATTTGTAGAGAATAGAGGAATTATAGTCCAAAGGGCAACACATATCAATGTAGTGAATGAAATCGTTTTGTGCGGGTTAAGGAAAACTGAAGAGTTCCAGGCTAGTGTTAAAGAGGGGTCATCAAGAGTAGGCAAGCCTGCATCAGGAAAGTCAGGCTTGGATGGATGTACATTTGGGCACATGAGGCCCATGGCTGGGGTGGGACATGAGGATCCCTGATCAGGTCCACATTTATAGTGAGCATCTAGGAACCCAGATGGTCAGTGCCAGTGTAGGCTCAATATCACAATTGTTCACAAAGAGAGAAAGGCATACAGCCAGGAAGGAAAGAACTTCAGTCCGTAGCCAGCTATCCTTTCAATTCAGATATTTTACTTTGGCTTCCAGTAAGAAGCAAAATGTTCTTTTTCTCTTTCCCTTCGTGTGTTGAAGGAAAAAGCACTTGGCGCTAACTCTCAGACTTCCCCTGGCATTATTCACTCGGTTTACATCAGTGTGTTTTGTATTAGGTTTAATTTACCAACACTTCATAAACTTTCTTCTTCGTATTATTTTTTTACAAAGAACAGAAGGATGCAGAGATATTTTCTTCCACATGGAAAGAGTGAAACATTCTGAGTTATGTGCTTAAAATATACTTTGATATTCCTGTAAAGGAAAGTATTCTTGTTAAAATGAAAATAAATTGTGTTCTTGTATGGGTCTCTATATTCTTGGAGGATACTGTTCCATTCCAATATAATACTTTGCTGTGACATTATTAAAACCATACAAGGAAGAGGATATCATATTAAAATATCGAAGAAATAAACAACTGGAAAAAAACTTAAATCATACCATTTTCAGACTGCCACCATTTCTTTTCTCTGTCTGGTTCAAAACTTACAATGACATTCTCAATGGTGTGGCTATTGGGTTGGGCGTATGGATCATATGGAAATCTAGAGTCACAGATGAAGCATTTTTGTTCCCCCTGGAAAACACCGTCATTAAAATTAAAAATAAGAGTTGGAATTACTTATTGTTCTTCTAAATTAAAGGCAAGCTGTACTTACTATATTTGTCTTCCAAACTGGCTAAAAATAAAAAGCAGAGGAAATAACAAGACATCAAAATTCCTATCAATAGGTGCCAAAGTACAACAATAAACTATGAATTAAAATTTTAGAAATTGATACATTTGGAATAAAAATGTAAATTTACGCAAAACTCATTTTCTGTCATATAAGAGGCAGAGGACCTGGAAGTTATTTTAAACTGCCACAACTAATATTAAGAAATAAAAAATTAGAAATAGACCTCTTAGAAGGTCTTAGTGAATTGGAACTAGTTTTGCTTAGGATTTTTTTTGTTTTTGTTTTTGTTTTTGAGACAGAGTCTCACTCTGTCACTAAGACTGGAGAGCAGTGTTGCAATCTCCTGGGTTCAAGAGATTCTCGTGCCTCAGTCTCTCGAGGAGCTAGGATTACAGGCATGCACCACCACACCCGGTTATTTTTTTGTATTTTTATTAGAGACAGGGTTTCACCATGTTGTTCAGGCTGGGTGTTGAACTCTTGGCCTCAAGTGATCTGCCTGCCTTGGCCTCCCAAAGTGCTGGGATTACAGGTGTGAGCCACCACCCCCGGCCTGCTTAGGATGGATTTTTGAAGGTTACAACGCAAAGCCTGGCCTTTGAGTTTGCTTAATTTAATGCGTCTACTTGCAGCTGTACTTGAAACTCCTAAGGGACTCTACAAGGATTTCCAAAGCACTGTCAGTGGCCTGCAGTTATTCCTGGCTAATACTCAGGGAACTCTGAAGGAGCTCTTTTGCAAAGCTTCTGGGAAGCCGAGGCTGGTCATTATAACCTTCTGTGCCGAAAATTGCCTACAACAGCATAGGCGCTCAGCTGGTGGCACTCAGTGCACGTTACATGTATGTCCTAACCATGGCTCACAAGGCCCAACATGATCTGGCCAGGGCCACTTCTTTGCCTTTGTGTCTACTTGGCTTTTCACTCCCTTGACTCTGGCTACACGTGCTTCTTGCTGTTTTTTAAGCACTTAGAGTCAGAAGAGTTCAAGCTGTTCTTCCTCCCAGCTAGTCTTATCTCTTGCTCCTTCCCTTCTTTCAGGTTTCTGATTAAATACCTTCATTTCAAAGAAACATTCCCTGACTACCCTATCTAAAATGTCACCATCTTTTCACCACCATGGCCCTCTGCCACTCTCTATTTTTTATCCTACTTTATATATTTCCTAAGCCCTTATCACTACTTGAGGCTATATTATACAGTTGTTGGTTTATTGTCTATCTCCATAATAAGAATCAAAACTGAATGAGGCAAGGACTTGGTTTTGTTTACTGCTGTATCCCCATTGCCTAGAATAGTGTGTGGTACATAGTAGATGTTCAGTAAAATTTATTAAATGCAGGATGATTTTAATGATTATTTCAGTTACCATCTGTCAAAACAAATCAACTCTTCAAGAGATTCGTATAATCATTGTATCTTAGCATCATTTGTCACTATAGACCTTATTGCTGAAGAAAGCCAAAATGCCCTTTGAAAATTAAGGCAAAATGGATCTAAATAAATTTTGCATAGGGGCAGGCTCATCCCAGTGACCAGTAGAAGCTTTGTGATTCTATCAAAAGTGATGGTCTTCAAATAATTTCCAATAATATTATGGAAATTGCTTGAGAAAATATTTAACCTCAGGGTGTGTGGGCCATTTTTTGGTTAACATTTTAGAAGTATAGTCTTTGATGAAGTTGACTTAAGAGAATGCTTAGTTGTAGCCACTAAATGTGAGTTCCATCTTGGATAACTTAATAGGTCAATGTTGACTGGAAGCTTCTGAACAAAATGTTTTGTTTGGTAGCTCTTTCTTAGGTAACAGATGGGAAAAAATCATCCTCCATGCTGCATGTATGTCTAGACTAGTGGTCATAGCCCCTCCTATAATACATTTTGTCAGCCTGAAACATTTTGAGGGTTTTTTCCAGCTCTAAGCTTTCTAAGATTTCTGTCATTCTCTAGACAAAAGAAGCCTCCACAACTGGAGTTACTTCTATTTTTGGTAGTATAATTTTGTGATATAAGAACACCAATTTCTAATTATCAGAGCATGTTGGCTCAGGCAACAGTAAGTAAATGCCAGTGGTTGGAGAACAAGATGGGTGGTGCTCGTATTGGAAAGTGGCAGTGGCTCATGCCTGTAATTCTAGCATTTGGGAGGCTGAGGCAGGCGGATCGCTTGAACCCAAGAGTTGGAGACCATCTTAGGCAACATAGTGGGACTGGTCTCTATAAAAATACCAAAAATTAACAGGGCATGGTGGTGCTTGCCTACTACACCAGTAGGTGGAGTAGCCTCCCTTACTTGGGAGGCTGAGGTGGGAAGATCACCTGAGCCTGGGAGGTTGGGGCTGCAGTGAGCTGTGATCGTGCTACTGCATGCCAACCTGGGCAACAAAGTGAGACCCTATGTAAAAAATAGAGTTGAGAACCACTTCTTTGTCCAGAGCACCTGGACTTAGTAGTCACCTGGCCTAGAGTTGAGCAGAACTTCCACCATGTAATTTCCTTGCACATGCAGAGAATTTGCTTTCTTACACAAGTACTTCCCAAACTTAGAACAGTGATATGCACCCAAGTACTGTCTCCACTTATTTATAATAGCCACCTTTTACTAGAAACCAATTTGAATACAAAGCATTTCCCAGAGACTTAAACAGTTGCTTTAAATGAACAATACATGGAAAAGCCTGGACCACTAACGTTAGGCTTATGTCCAACTTCCTTCCTGCACATCCTCTCATTTAAGGGGTGGACGTGATTACCTCAGGGTTTTCGGTAGGGATGATACTCAGATGACCTTGGATGCTTGTTCCGTTGCCAGTACATGGAGAGGAAAAGAAACCTGAAAAGCCACTGATCCTTTTATAAAGTTGGTCTTTAAGGGGAAAAGGCATAAAAATATGTTCACACTGGGAATTTATGATTTTTAGACAGTATAACTTCCAAGTGGTATTATGTTGGTGTATAATCAGTTCAAAGTTCTACACCTCCTCCATCTCTAATTAAGGCAGAGCAGTGAGGACTCATGTTCAGCATAATGGCAGTAGGCCCTGATGAATCTTCAAACTTCTTTAAATGAGTCAATTATGTTTGCTCTATGGGAGTGGCTAAGGTAGCCAAGTAGACCAGTAAATTTTATAGTAATTCCCTACAAAGACTAACCAAAAAGACTTTTATGTCTCATTCTGAAGGTAACAGGAAATAGAAATTAAGCAGATCTTCTTTATTTTTGATTAGTTAAGGTTTCCTGGACTTTGAATTATGTGAGCGTTGGCTCTCTATATCTGCAGGTTCCATATATGTGGATTCAACCAACCAAGGATTGAAAATATTTGGGAAAAAATATCAACAATAAAACAATAACAGGGTAGGCCCAGTGGCTTATCCTGTAATCCCAGCAACTCAGGAGGCTGAGATGGGAAGATTGCTTGAGGCCAGGAGTTCAAAACTAGCCTGGGCAACATAGTGAGACCCTGTCTCTAAAAAAAACAAAATTAAAATTAGCCAGGTGTGGTGGTGCATGCCTGTATTTTTAGCTACTTCAGAGGCTGAGGTATACTCCAGCCTGGGCAACAGAGTGAGACCCCTGTCCCTAATGAATAAAAATAAGATAAATAACAATATAACAATAAAAAGAACATAGATTTTAACATGTAGTGTAATAATTATTTTCATAACATTTACATTATATTAGGTATTGCAAATAATCTAGAGATTATTTAAAGTACATGGGAGGATATACGTAGGTTACATGTAAATACTATGCCATTTTAGATCAGGGACTTGAGCATCCATGGATTTCGGTGTTGGGGGAAAGGGTCCTGGCACCAATGCCCTGTGGATACCGAGGGACAACTGCACCAGTGTCTCCATTGTTTAGAAAGGAATGTTGTCTCCTTTAATGTCTGAGTAGCCCCAGGTGTACCTGGAAAAATCTACATCATTGATTAAATAATGTCCCAGCAAATGAACAACCCACCTCCAGGTAACTGAGGATGCAGTATTTCTGGGCTCTGCTCAGCCCACAGGTAGAAGAAGCCATAAGCTGTGTGTTCCTACCCACCAGGAGATCGCCGGTGGTGGGATGACAGGCACCCCTGTTGCAGTCATCTTGAGCTTTTGAGTAAATGAGCCACCCTTGAACACAACAGAAATATCTTACAAGGAATGCAGTCTAAGGATAGCACAGGGCCTGCAGAAATGACTAGTTAAGGGGGAGAGTTATGTATTTATTTAACATTGGTCAAAGATGTAACAGACTTTTAAGTTTATTAATAGATGATAAATGGTCCCTACTTTGCTTGCTGGGTGCATGAGGTGTAATAACTCTTAGAGTCTTTTGAAATCTGTATTCCAAAATACAGATTTGGATTAAAGATAAATACTTCTAAAATGTGTTGAACTGAGCTGTATATCAGCAGGATTCTCTATCAAAAATAGATGCCGAGAACAATACACTTGAAAGATACTGCATTCTGTATCCCTCTCTTATTTACAATGGACAATCAAGCCTGAGTGACAGAGCAAGACCCTATCTCAAAAGCAACACCAAAACAATCCTATCATTTTGGAAGTAGGAAGGTCCACATATCTTACTTAGAGATTGAATTTAAAGTTAAATCTCAGGAATTAAGTTATAAATCCATATAATCAAATTATTCTGGAAAATTTCGTAAGTTACCTATATAGTACAGTATACATGGTTTTGTGTAGACAAATCCTAACATAACGTTTGAGAACTATCAAGTTAGATAAAGAAGGAAACAAAGGAAACTCTACGTGCAGATGAGCAAGCATTCCAATCATTCCAAGTTAAGATAACTGTTAAACGTCTATACGGGCATGAGTGGCAAGTAGAGTCATCTGAAATCTTTCTTTCCTGCAGGGTTTGTTCCATCATGTTATCTAATACACTTTGGTAAGCAATAATTTATTAATGGGTTTGTTAATTGTTGGGAAGATTGAATAAAACAAAGTGGAATCTTACTGGGGGTTAAGATCTAAAGTTAACACACAAAGTTAAACATATATACAATGAGCGTCTACTGTATTTTGTGGGTAGCCACTTATGTTACAGGAAAGAGGTCCTGACCTAGACCCCAAGTGAGGGTTCTTGGACCCCATGCAAGAAAGAATTCAGGGTGAGTCCATACAGTAAAGTGAAAGCAAGTTTATTAGGAAAGTAAAGGAATAAGAGAATGGCTACTCCATAGACACAGCAGCCCTGAGGGCTGCTGGTTGCCCATTTTTACAGTTATTTCTTGATGATATTCTAAACAAGGGGTGGATTACTCATATCTTCCCCTTTTAGACCATATATGGTAACTTCCTGACGTTGCCATGGCATTTGTAAACTGTCATGGCACTGATGGGAGTGTAGTAGTGAGGACAACCAGAGGTCACTGTCGTGGCCATCTTGGCTTTTGGCCGGCTTCTCTACTGCAACCTGTTTTACCAGCAAGGTCTCTATGACCTGTATCTTGTGTTGACCTCCTATCTCATACTATGACTTAGAATGCCTTAACCGTCTGGGAATGCAGCCCAGTAGGTTTCAGCCTCATTTTACCCAACTCCTATTCAAGATGGAGTTGTTCTGGTTCACATGCCTCTGACACTTACAGAAATAGTTTTATTTGTTCTTTAAAAACTATATGTGAAGAGGACAATATCATTTTATTGTTAATTCAATTAAAGCATTAGAATCCTGTTTGATTCTGGAGGCCAAATCTAAGCACTAGTTTTCTCTTTATTGCAATTCAAAATGATAGTAATAATTTTGTGGCCGTAAAATAGCCTCTAGATGGAAGGGCAGAGGACCTAGAATGGCTAAAACGTTTGAAAAAGGAAAATAAGGGTGAAGGAATAGCTCTATCCAATATGAAGACTTACTATATAGCTACAATAAAGAAGAGACTGCAATTTTGGCAGATGAATAGACACCTAGATCAATGGAACAGAATGGAGAACCCGGAAATAGACCAACATAAATATGTCCCACTGATTTTTGAGGTGCAAATGCAACTCAATGGAGGAAGAACAGCCTTTTAAATAAATAGTGCTGGAGCAATTGGATCCACAGCCAAAAAAAGAAAAAGAAAAAATGAACTGCAAGCAAAACCTCACACCTTATAATATTAATTAAAAATTGAGCATAGACTTAAGTGTAAAATGTGAAACTATAGAGCTATGAAACTCATATAAAACATAGGAGAAAATCTGGCATTTAGGGCTAGATGAATGATTTTTAGGATGGCCAAAAAAAACCCGTGACCCATAAAAGGAGAATTTAGAAAATTGGACCGTGTCAAAATTAAAAACTTTTGCTCTGAGAAAGACCTTGTGAAGAAGTGAAAAGGTAAACTATGGAGAAAGAGAACACACTTGCAAACCACATATCCAACAAAGCTCTTGTGCTTGCAATAAGAGCTTTCAAAACTTGACATTAAAAAACCAATCAAATGAGCAAATGGCAAGCGACATGAACACAATACTTCAGTGAAGAAGATACACAGATGGCAAATAAACACATGAAAAGAGGTTCAACATCATTAACCACTGGGGAAATGCAAATCAAACCACAATGAGATATCACTACACACAGATCAGAATAGCAAAGATAAAAATAGTGATAACACCAGATGCTAGAAAGGATGTGAAGATCACGCATATGTGCTGGTGGGAATGAAGAATGATATAGGCACTCCCAGGAAGAGTATGGATGGTAATTTCTTACAAAACTAAGCAAGTGCTAATCATGCAACTCAGCAAGGGAACTCTTGAGTATTTATCCCAGAGAAATTACAACTTATGTTCACACAAAAACCCTACGCAAATGTCCACAGCGTCTTTATCTGTAATAATAAAAAAACTGGAAAACACCCAATGTCCTTCATTGGGTGAAAGGTTAAACCAAATGTGGTACATCTGTACCATGGAACCTAGCAAAAAAAAGTAGTGAACCATTGATACAAGCAACAACTTGGATGGATCTCAAAGGAACTGTGCAGAGTGAAAAAAGGTTATATACTGCATAATTCTATTTGTATCACATTACTAAACGACAAAATTATAGAGATAGAGAACAGATTAGTGGTTGTCAGTGGTTAGGAAGGCAGGGAGGGAGGGAGGTGGATGTGGCTATAAAAGGGTAGTGCTAGGGATCCTTGAGGTGGTAGAACTGTTCTGTATCTTGACTGTGGTGATGGGCACATACATCTATATGGTGATAAAATGGCATAGACTCAAATACACGCACACATGAGTACATGTATAACTAGTGAAATCTGAAAGGCCTGTGAACAACATCAGTGTTGATTTCCTGGTTGTGATATTGTGCTATAGTTATATAAGATGCTATGACTGAGAGAAATTGGGTGAAGGGTATATGGTCTCCCTCTGTGTTATTTCTTAAAGCTGTGTGTGATCTTACAATTATTTCAAAATAAAAAGTAAAAGAGACAAACAATTCCCTACATCCATCAGCCTTTGGATGGTAAACCAAGCAAATCCCAGACTCAAAATATACACGTGACATGTTCTAGCTGCTCTTATACACTTTATCCTTGAGACGTGAAAATTTATGCCAAGCCTTATTTCAGTAGACAGGAGTGACAGGGATGGGTCTATAATAAAAAATAATAACCATACAGTGAAATCAGCTTGGTTTCTTCTCAGTTTTCTCCATTTAAAAAATATAATCATCTTTCATGAACTTGTTTTACATTTAATGGCTTTCTTTCCTTCAGTTTGACCTCCAATATAGCCTATATGGTTATTGAAAAAACCATGTTATTTCTCTTACACATTATTCACATGAACTATTAATCTGGTCATTTTGTATTATTAGGCATAAAACATACAGGGATCATAAGTTCTACAGCTAAGAATATTATAGTGTCTCCACCCACACAAGTTACTAAATGACACTTTGAACAGGAAATTTTCTATTCTCAATCTCAATATAAAGATTATTATTCTAAAGCAAAAGCATATTTCTTTCTCTTTCTCTGAGACAGCTATGTGAAGAAAGCTAGCTCCATCGGACACCTGCTGTTTTGTGGTATAATAAATGGTTAATGTGGACTTTCATTTACCCAGCAACCCACATTCATGTTTTTTTTTTTTTTTCCAGAATTGGTATCTAGGATAAATAGCTATTCAGAAGTTTGGACTCCAATAGACCAAAGATTTTTAAAGACAAGATCAGGTATAACATTTCCGTTGATGTTCCATGTGAATAAAAGAAGACTTCTCTTCCAGGGATTTATTCTTTTAGACAAGTTCCATCCTGGATTTTTTTTAAATTGAAATTGTTGCCTTAGAGATTTAACATGTTTTTATAACCTGACTTGGCCAAACTTGTTTACAACAGAAATTTTTTTCAGAAAATATATTCCAGGACTTAGGGAAATTGAGCTATTATTCCTATAATATAAGTGCAAATATGAACTTCTTGTCTAAAATATTTGGCAAAAAGTGACTAGAAATGTAAATAGTTAAAGTTTCATGCCTGAACATAGACTGAGCAATATCCTTCCTGGGATGAAGTTTCCGAATGCCAAATTACATTAGCAACATGTTGGAATTAATTCAGAAAATAAACATGTTTATGTCTTCTGACAATCAACACATTCCTAAAAAATGACACAACCTGAAGCTAGAACCTGAAGATAGAATGTTATGAATTTTATGAATGTTATGAAATTCCAAAATGAATTTAGGAGATCTGGTCATTTAAGGAAAATATACAGTAAATTTTCTGTAAAGAATTGTTTTATAGAAATTACTGTTACTGTATAATTTCTCTAGTATTTCTGCATGTTGTCATAATTTTCTCAAATACATGAGATGCTTTCTCATACTTTAGAATTCACATCTCACACTTTAGAGTTTGCAGATCATAATGGGTGAGAAAAAATACCAAGAATGTGGCCGGGCATGGTGGCTCACACCTGTAATCCCAGCAATTTGGAAGGTCAAGATGGGTGGATCACCTGAGGTCAGGAGTTCAAGACCAGCCTGGTCAACATGGTGAAACCCTGTCTCTACTAAAAATACAAAAAATTAGCTGGGCATGGTGGGGGCACCTGTAATCCCAGCTACTCGGGAGGCTGAGGCAGGAGAATTGCTTGAACCTGGGAGGTGGAGGTTGCAGTGAGCTGAGATCGTGCCATTGCACTCCAGCCTGGGCGACAAGAATGAAACTCTGTCTTAAGGAAAAAAAAAAAAAAAAAAGAATGCATGTAGATAAGGTTTGCACTTTGCGTGAAGTTCCTAAAACCTATGGGGCAGTGCACTTTTTATGATTACTTCTTATATTGCTCAGTCAGAAGGCAAAACTAAGTGTTTAAATATGCTGCAGTATTTATATAAGTGTTATGTTCAAACTGTCAATGGAAAAATTCCCAAGCTGATGATATGAGGCTAACCTGGTTGGGAGTTTGACCACAGGCAACTCTAGAGATTTGGTTTAGGTCAGGGCAAGCTTACATTTAGAAATGTACGATTGATTGCAGTGAGGCCTTTTCTGCCCAAGCTAATTTAGTTTAGAAAATTCCTTCTCCAGAGAGAGGAGTCCCCTAATTGAAGAGGGCTCTCTTAGCAACTGTGGACTGGTTTAGAACTTTTGCAAGATGCGAGTAAGGTATTCTATATAAAGGATGGGGAGAAGGTAGAGTGATCCTCAGTGGTCCCTTCTAATTTTGGATATTGGTTTAGTTTCAAAGAGAACATGTAAGGCAAGTGCAGGTTAAAATAACTATTTTTCTGAATGAGACCAGATCTAAACCTCCCAGTCCTGGGATGTGGAGGATAAACTGAGGGCTCCAGATGAATGACATGTTTCTGTTCCCACTGGGGTGTGGCTCACCTCTCCAAGGGGATTTTCAACAGAGAACAAATGAGTGCTTACCATCTGGACCATTACCAGCAAAACTAACTGGAAAATTACCTCAGGGTTGGAAAATTGCAAAGAAAAAAAAAAAGGTGAGATTCTGAAGGTTTGCTGTCATGAAGAAATTCAGCGTAAATCTTTGAAGTGAAGATTCTAAGCAAGTTAGTTAGTACTCAGTAATCAAAGGCAGGCCTGTTTTCGATGTAGAAAAGTCAGATCAAAGAGAGTAATTGCTGGAAACATCTTCTATATGATTAATGCAAATTATTCTCAGCTTATTAAAGATGGCAGGAGCATGGAGAATTTTGCCTTTTAGCTTAGAACTGCTGCTTACTTAGAAGAGGGAATTTTGCCTGTAACTTCTTCACAAGACCTCATTGCTGGGACAAGTGTTACACTGAAAGCATAGCTATTAAAAAAAATTAGACGCATTGTATTTGTAAATTAAGACTCTGAAACTATTCTCTGTTCTTTAATATTTTACTTTACTTATCTGAAGATAACATTCCATTAAAAAGTGACAGAAATAGCAATATGTGGATACTAAACATGTTGGAGTGGAATTTTTCAGTTGCTTGACACAATTACACAACAACAGAATAGCTACACAAGTATACAGCGCTATAGAAGAAAGAAGTGAAATGTTTAAAAACTATTTCCACTTTATTTTAGGACAATACAAGCAGAAAATAGATTTTGACAACGAATACTCACCAAGGTGCAAAAAAAGGGTCAGTTGAAATTGCATTCTTTTGTCAGGAGATGATTAAGTTCAATTCTACTGGGTTAAAAAAAAAAGGTTAAAGTCAATCACTGATAGAAGAAGTAATTGCCATCATCACATGTTATGTAAAAGTGCTCAGAATTATTGAATGGTTCTTATGCTTTAGACATAAGAAATATCCACACTGTCCAGTTCCTCAAAAAATAAGAGTGCATAAACATTTTAATAAATATTTGTTTGCTCTTAATTTTTGCCATTTTTCGAAATCACAGAATTCAATTGTTTGTGGGAAAGAAGAGGAAACAAATATAATTTCCTTTGTATATTTTAATTTTAACCTACTTTTTACCCATTCTTATTTAAAAACCTTTTCTTCTAAAAATTACAGTTAATACATACTCGTTATAGAAAAAGTAGAATATTCAGACAGGCAAAATGAAAAAATATCCCCTATAATACCACCCACAGTGGGCCATGATTGCTCCACTGCACTCCAGCGTGGGCAACAGAGCAAGACATGGGATGGAGGGAGGCCCCTCTCTCAAGGGCCTTTTCTTCCATACTTTTTCCTTGCACAAATAATTTTCAAAAATAATATCACACTGTTTTCTTATTTCAATCAATACATTCCAGGCATCTTTCTGTACTAACAAATGCATTTTTAATTAGTGATATTTTATCAAGATTAAGATCACCTGGAGTCTCCTATAAAGCAAACTTATGATTTTCTTCTTTGTAGATTTGGCCATGGCCCTTGAGGGAGAGGCCTCCCTCCATCCCCAAGTTACCATTAAAGAGAGTTCTGATCCGGAGTGGAATATATATGCACTTCAGTGGGTCAGGAGAAAAGAAGGTAAACTTTATAATTTTTTTTTTTTTGGACAGTGTCTCACTCTGTTGCCCAGGCTGGAGTGCAGTGATGCAATGGTGGCCTACTGCAGCCTCGGCCTCCTGGACCCAAGCTGATTCTCCCGCCTCAGCCTCCCCAGTAGTAGAGACTATAGGCATGTGCCAGCATACCCAGCTAATTTTTACTTTTTGTAGAGATGGAATCTCACTATGTTGTAAGATGGACACCAGTATTTTTAATTACTGCATAGTATTACTCTGAATGTAGAAACTAGAATTGATTTAATGAATTCTCTATTGGTTGATGTGTACTTGGTTTTTCCTATTTTCCTATTATAAATATTTCTGCTAAATCTTTGTTTATAGCCTTAATTATTCACTAGGATATAGTAAATGGGGCAGAAATAATGAGCCAAAGAGTATATGTGTGTGTGTGTATATAACCACATGTATATACAAAGATTGTATATATATACACACACACACGCATATATACAAATATACATACTACATGTATACGTGTATATAAAGCTTTTGATGTCACTGTCAAACTACCATGCAGAAACTTTGTCCCAATTTACACTCTTACAACCAGCCTGTGAAAACTGCTAACATGAGCCCTTACCAACATGGAGTATTATTTTTAAATATTTGTCAGTTTAAAAAGCAAAAAAGCCTCATTATAATTTATTTGAATAGGAGGAAATATAAAACTTCTTTCATGTATTTTCAGGTGAGACTATTTTTTTCACATTCTACCTTCAAGGCTTTTCCTGGTGAATCCTTCATCCTCCTACTCCCATATTCCCAGTCCCTGCACGTGTACAGTCCCTGCGCTCCAGCGTTAGCACTCCGGTTTCTGTTTTCTGAACCTTCTTCTCATGCTGTTTCCTTTGCCTTGAATGCCACCCTCCTAAGCCCAAATGTTAGCCTCCCTATGAAATCTTTTTAGGGTGTTTTGCAATGCCTGATATTAGCCAATATTCCATTCTGTGATTCAGGCTCTTTATGAAGCCTAGGGTTCACTTTGGAAGTCCAATGCCAGAAAGTGACTCACTGAGAAACAGTCATCCCATAGTAGCCCCATCAGAATGAGCTCTACCTGTTAGAAAAGTCTGCAGTCTTGGGCTAATGGCCTCACACAAAACCTTGTGAAGACCTATAGGAGAATCCAGGTTGCAGCTGTTAGGAAGGTCCATTCTGCATAGGCCACCTGAACTTGTACAGGCACTTTTTCTAGGTGGTACTTTCTTAATGCTTTTTTCTCACAGGCAAGTCAGGAGTTTGGCTTCTGGTCAGCCGCCTACATACACTTTTGAAAAATGAAATCTCTAATCCTGATGCTGTCCTTTATTTAGAACTGCCCGTGTGCTTCATTCTGTCCGGAAATGCAAAATGATTGGCATCATGGTCATTTATTTAATAAGAATGGGCACTATTAGCAAAGTTTGAAAACATGATTCTCTATAACCAAATAAATGGAAGTCAGTGAGATGACAATCTCTGTGAATAGCCTATGATTCAGGGCTCATAATGATCTAGGCTCTGAGTTGCTAGGGTAAAGTGCTACGTAGGATATATCATGGCATTCCTGCTTCTCTCCAATGGAGAACCTATTCACAGGGCAGAGTCCAAAGCAAAAGACTGTTTCAAGCTACTAATCACGGGCTAATCTCTTCCTACATTGGACAGGTGGGAGTGAGGCAAAGTGCAGAATTCCCAGGACTCAGATTTAGAAAGAAAGGAGGTAGAACTGTAATGCTGAGTGCAGGAGTAAAAGAACAAGTGGAACTTCTGCAGAGCATTTGGGGAATAAAGCTTCTTTAGTATCACAGTTCACCATATTTCCATGATAAAAATGAACTGCTGAAAATTTCTTCAGTCCATATGGGAATTATCTTCAAGCAACAATAAAGGTCACGGTACAAAGACTACTGGACTTCCGAATGTACATCAGCCAGGTTTAAAAATGACCTGCCCCAAAAGAGGACGAGGAGTCAGAAGCAGATCCCAAATTGAACTAGAAGAGATATCATTCCCTTATTGACAATTGGTTAAGGATGATCACAGTTGCTATGTGAAGACATAAATGACAGAATCACACAGCTTGCCAATAATTCCATTAGATCAGCAGGCCACAGCCCTGGATGCAACTGAGAATCACTTGAGAAGATATTTTTAATGACTTCCTTTTTGAAATATTTATTTTTAATTGTGGTAGAAATACACTTACATAAAATTGACCATCTTAATCATTTTTACCTGTACAGGTCAGTAGTGTTAATTACATTTACATTGTACGCAACCAATCTCCAGAACACTTTTCATCTTGCAAAGCTGAAACTTTGTATCCATTAAACAAGAAGTCTTCATGTCTCCCCCAACCCCTGCAGCCACCATTGTACTTTCTGTCTCTATGGATTTGACTACTTAAGTATCTAATATATGTAGAATTGTACTAAATTTGTCTTTTCTGTGACTGGCCTATTTCACTCAGCATAATGTCTTAAAGGTTCATCCATGTTGTAGGATGTGTCAGAATTTCTTTCCTTTTTTTGAGACTGAATAATATATCATAATATGTACCTGAGAAGATTTTAAGACACCAATGCTCAGGCCTAACTCAGACTAATTAAGTAAGAATCTCTGGGGAGAGATCCAGGTGTCAATGTGTATAAAATTCTCCCTAGGGGATTCTGAGATTGTAGCCAGGGTTGAGAACCACTGATGGCTTGCCAACACCTGAAACTGATTAATTTGCCCCTCACTCTTGCTCTGCTCCTGGATTCCCTTCTAAGGGCATAACCCAGTGCTTTCCAAACTTTACTGCACATTAAAATCACCAGGTTTTTTTTTTTTAATTTTTATTTATTTTAATCCTGCTTTGCGGGTCACATTCCATACCAACTACACCATAGTATCTGGGGGTAAGGTCCCGGTATCAGATGTTTAAAGATTCCAGGTGATTCCAATAGGCAGCAAAATTGGAGACCCACTGCATAACCATGGACCAACGGTCTCAGACTAGAAACTTGAGGGTTACCTTCGATTCCTCTTTTTCTCACCCTTCAAATCTAAATTCTCCTCATCAAGCCCATTTGACCTTATCGCCTAAAACAGTGGTTCTCCAAGTGCAGTCCATGGACTTAATAAGATTACCAATTCATCCTGGTTTGCCCGGACTGTTCTGATTTTCTCATTGCAAATCCCCAGGTTCTGCAATCTCCGTCAGTCCCAGGCAAACTTACACGGTTGGTCACCCTACCAGATGAGCAGCATCAACATCACGTGGAAATGCCAATGATCAGGGCCCAGCCAGGGACCTACTGATTCACAGACTCTGGGATGGGGCTCAGCATGCTGCCACGTGCCCTCCAGGTGAGTCTGATGAACACTCAAGTTGGAGAACCACTGCCCTAAGCAACTCCCAAGTCTTTGCACTACAAAGACTGCTGGCTCCTCAGTAGTAAGACACTGCCGACTGCCATACTGGGGTGAATACAGGACATTCGGCAATGTTTGCAGACATTTTTGGCTGTCATAATGAGAGGAAGATGCTGTATGGCAGACACACCTGAGAGCAATAACTTAAGCAGACCCTGAGAATGACCTGTGGTCTAAAAGGAATGTGTGTTTGGAGTTCCAAGCTAAGGAATCCAGGAGTAGCCAACCTGAAGATCCATTCCTTATCAGGAACATCTGAACCCCTGGCCCATTCCATGGAACAGGCCAGCCAGCGATACAGGGGATCGAGGCCCTTTGTTTTGGTGTAAACAAAGGTTGCCAGGTGGAGGTTGTTAGAGGGAGGGTGCTCAGTGAAAATGCTGTATGAACTGCATGTTTTTTACAAGCAGGAGCGGTTCGCCAGTCCAGCCTTACATACAGCCATGGGTCTGCCCTGTATGTAAGTTCCCTTCAATAAACTCTATGTCTTGTTCACTGGCTCCAAGTCCCTTTGGCCTCTCAAACATGGTGCCATCCCTACTAAAGTCAATAGGGTTCTGGCACGACAGATGCTACTGGCATTGAGTGTGTAGAGGCAGGGATGCTGCTAAGTAAATATTCTACAATGCACGGGACGGTCCTGGGCCCTACAACACAGAATTAAGCATCCTAAAATACTAACAGTGCTAAGCTTGAGAAACTTTCTCAGTGGCTTCAGTGCCCTTAGCTATGGGCCTTATCATTTCAGTCCTTATTTCCCAAAATCGCTCACCTCTAGTCTTCCTCCCCATTTTCTATTTCCCATTTTAGGAGAGCTAAGCTCCCAACTGGATAAGTATAATGAATCTGGCAACTTCTAGAAGTTCTGTTATCTGAAATCACCTATCCAGTCATTATAAAACCCACAGCTGCACATAGAGCACAATTTCAGAAAATGGGGTTCCCACATTTTCTGAACTATAAGTTTAATTGGTACTGCTTTTCAGGTTGGTTTACCAGAGCTGACATTGTGAAGCCTCTCAGGGGCTACATGACACTTTTTTCTTGTTAAATTCATCAGTGAGTTTTAGTAATATATGTAAAAGTGCTCGGGACTAATAACAAAACATTATCCCTCCTTTGGATGAGATATGTACAAATGTATTTCCAAAGGCACTGGGTGCATTTTGGTAACTGTTTAATGAATACTGCTAGATGACACTGGTCTTAAAGTGTATTAAATGTTGCAATAAATACTGAAATATATTAGACTGACAACTTTCTGGCATTGCTAATTGATTTAATTTACTGACCATTCACTTATGTTTGCCTCATCTGCTCTCACTTAAAGGCTGCAAAGAGTGACTCTTTTTTGTCAAAACAATTTGGATGAGACCGATAAAGAGAAAAGGGGCAGGTGGTGCCCAGTTGGCCAGCTCCTAGGCCCACAGGTGGATCATGTTTGATAAGAACCTCTCTGCAGGAAAGATATGCATTCTGCTCGTTTCTACTACAGTGCGTTTCTTCTGCAAATTGTACAGTAATTTATAACACAGAAGATAATTATAAATACATTTATATTAGTCCTTAAGACTTTTTCTGGCACACAAATAATGGTCTATATTTAAAATGACAGTTCTCAGAAATCTTATATTTAATATTCCTTTGTCTTTTTTTCGTGTTATGTCAGGACTCATTAAATATTTCAACTGTTTTGCCTAAATTTCATAGTGAGGAATGCAGAATACAGAACTATAAAGTTTACTTTTTTTTTTTTTTTTGAGACAGTCTCGCTCTGTCACCCAGGCTGTCATACAGTGGCACAGTCTTGGTTCACTGCAACCTCAGCCTCTTATGCTTAAGAGGTCCTTCCACCTCAACCTCCTGAGTAGCTGGGATTACAGGCATGTGCCACTACGGCTGTATAAGTTTTGTAGAGATGGAGTTTCGCCATATTGCTCAGGCTGGTCTTGAACTCCTGAGCTCAGTCTGCCTGCCTCGGCCTCCCAGAGTGCTGGGATTACAGGCATGAGCCACCATGCCCGGCCAAGTTTGTTTCTTTTAGTTATAGCAGACATTTCTTAAAACAATATTTACACATATCTAGAACATTAACAAAATATTTTGAAAATACGGGTAGTTCTAATGCATTTAAAACTTTTATAAGTTGTCATAAGTTTTATAACCATAACAAAAACAAAGATTCACTGAGAACAATATAGTTGTACATTTCAACACTATATCATTTGAAGCTTCCTTCAAGGTACAGTAAGGCTCAAGTTGTTGGCTTCGTATCACAATGCACTAACATCAATTTTCCCATTGGATACTGTTTTATGTTGCAATAATCTTTATGTAAGTGTCATTGGATTATCATTCTGTAAAAGTAATAGTATTCTATGTGCTAATATGCTCCATTTCTTACTTTATGCCAATTTCACTTACCCCCTAAATTCTAATACCTTCATTTAATCCATAAAAATGCCAATTTGCTAGTGAGAGAGCAGGCAAGACTTACCAGGATTTGGTAGTCTTTGTGGAGAGGCGCAGGCAGCAAACGGGGCATGTGAAGACACACCTGAAAGTTAGAGCCAGTTTATGTAGAAAACATTCTCCCCAAGGCACCTAAAAGTAGGAAAAAAAAAGATGAGAGGTATTCCAACACCTGTCAAAAAGGTGATTTGTGAAGTCACTTAAGTTTTCACTTAAACACACACACACACACAGAGGGAACTAGAGCTTAGTTTTACAGCAAATATTTTTCTTGTTTTCTCTAAAACAATTTTGATAGCCAGGAATAATGCACAGACATTTTGTTCCCTGTTTTATTATTTTTTTCTGGTTCATGTTTTAGCAGTCATTTTCAGACAGCTTGATACTTACCAGCTATAAAATGTGCGGAATTAGATGGGTTTGTTTCTCAGGAATGTGAGACCCCTGACTCCATCCCAATGTACTTTCAGGGGGACCAGGTGGAATAGTTTCAGTTGGGTTCTCAAGGCTCTGACCAGTCCTAACTGGCTCAAGATCATCTTAAATGGCTCGTAGATTTCTGTTTACCTTGTGATTTGGCAAGTACAACTAACCATTGTGGGAACAGCAGGTTTGAGTGGTTTGGGAATCCATGTGGCTTGAAATTTCATTCTCCTACGAGGAAGGTTTGTAGGATAGAAATGAACCTACAGCAGTCTTACGTTTTATTCACCTGTCAGTATATTAATATCTCCATTTCAAATCTATGCAGTTTCAATGGGTACATTTATTGACTGCTTGAAAAAACATTTAGGATTTCTAGAAGCTCATGGAAAATACCCTCATGGAAGAATAATGATTGTGAACTGAGCCAAAATGAGATGCTCATTTTTACACAACATTTACAAATCAGGAAATAGATTCAACAAACATTCACCAAATACCACTCTTACAGGCCTTTAAGCTTTTTCAATGGTATTTTTCAATGGTTCTTACCTGTTATTTGTGTTTTAATTTATTGCTCTATTTTCAGTTGATACCACTGTTTTCTTGTTCCCTGTAGATCAGGTTCATCTGCTCACTTCTGATGTACTAGAAAGCAAACTCCAAGATGGCAGGAACATGTCTTTTCCATTTTAGGATGAAGTATGGAAGAAACTTGCAGTCAATATTTGCTAAACTGACTTGTTTTATTTTTGTAAGTCAACAGCTTCCACAAAGTACCAGGTGGTAGGAGACCAAAGAGCAGTATTTGGTTTTTAGGTAGATACTTCAGCAAAGAGTGTGAGTGAAATTAAGGGACTTTTCAGTTTGTTCAGTTGATGGTTTTGTGATCTGTTTTATTAGACCAATACTATTTCCCCTTTAGACTCTTAAATTATTGTGAAAGCATAAACTCGGCATGAAATTTTATATAATTTTAAAACTTATTTCAAACATTGGAATTTCCTATTGTCTTTTTTGCCTTTTGAGATATGTAAATGTTAAAAGCTTGTTGTATTCTTGAGTAATTTGATTATATCTTGAGGGTTTTTCCCATTATATGTGTCTCCGGTTTTATTACGAGAATCAAAGTTACATCGTTCAAATTCCAAAAATTTCCGTTTAAATAATCATGAATAGGTTATTGTAGGCTGTTTGCCTGTAAATTGATGCCATGTCGTGGCATATCTGCTTTCATCTCAGAATGATTTAACTGTTTACGTCTTAGGATTAGGTTTAGAGTTAGAAGCTGTCAGGCAGGATATATTTTCAAGAAAAATAATTTTCCCATGCAACTAAAAGATCAGTCTATGAGTTAATCAGAAGCAGTCTCTTGGTATAACTCTTCTTAAAGTCTTGATATCTTTTTTCAAAAAGAAAATAGCTTTATTGCTTTTCCTGGAAAGTAATATATGCTCATTTACCCGAAATCAGACAGCATAAAAATTCAAAGGAAAAGGAAAGTAAAAATCCCTGAAAGCATCACATTTTTGAATAACTATCTTTTCAGATCCCTCCTCCTCATTCTCTGGTTTTCTTTAGTCTATATACGCCTGTAATTTTTCTTTAGTCTCTATTTCTTTAGCTCTGTTTCTTTAGTCACAGAACCTTAAACACCAACAGATTCCATTAGGTATAATTGACCTATCAGAATTCATTTGTTGTAAGTATACATGTTAATGCCTTCGGTTGAACTGAAGTTAAGTGTAAGAGAGGTGACTTTCATCTCTTCCTTAGGAGAAGGTATTTCCCCAGAAGTCAGCCTCGGAGGAAATTCCTTGCGCAGCCTCATCTCAACCAGAACTGCTTAGTGAGCTGAGCCTCCTCCCGTCTTTCCCCCGCGGTGGCCCACCTAACTGCAGGGCTGAGGAGGCTGTTCCTAAAGAGACTTGCCCACAGTCGGGATTCCATTTGGGCTGAGGAGTCTTCACCGGGCACTGCGAGGCTTGCAAGTCCTGACAGGAAGTGTGGAGGATTACTCAGTCACAGGAGGCCTTGAAACAGCTAATCAGCCTTTAATTAGATTCAGTGAACCTGAATGAAGCCAAGATCCTAGTGCTTGAGGCAGCTGACACACGCTACCAAAGCTCTGAAAGGACAGAAGGGCCTGGGCTGCCTACAACGCCCTCATGCAGCGAGAAAGTGGCAAAACCCTCCCTGACAGAACCCATGTCAACCCCCTTTGTATTACCTCGGAGTGACCACAGACAAAGCGCTCATTGGAACCTGGAGAGAACCCCAGTGGACTTACCATTTGGCTTCTCTTAAAACCAACTCTCCCAGTTCTTCCCCTCACAGGAAGACCCATCCAGCCTGCAGTGGCCTGGGCCTGAGGTTATCCTGGCATCTTCCACCTCAGAATCTGCCTTGGCGTGTTCTAATTACAGAGACCGGGGTGGATGGAGCTCGCAGGGCATTTAGGAGAGACGAGGAGAGGAGACTCAGGTCCATTGATAATTATAATCCCTATAAGAATCTAAAAATACATTTCAACATTTATAGGAAAGTGCTAAAATGTACCACATTTTACAGTTGTTGATAAATGTGTAAAAGCTGTGTCATTTCTTTTTTTTTTTTTTTTTTTTTTTTAGTAGAGACGGGGTTTCACCATGTTAGCCAGGATGGTCTCAATCTCCCGACCTCGTGATCCGCCCGCCTCAGCCTCTCAAAGTGCTGGGATTACAGGCGTGAGCCACTGCGCCCGGCAAAAGATGTGTCATTTCTAAGCAAAAATTAACCAGTCTTAAGAGTGTGAGATCCAGCTAGGACTTTAGAGATAATTAGTTCTCTTTGTCCTTGAGAAAAAGCGAAAATCTAGAGAGTTAAATGACTCAGCTAAAGCCACACTTTAGTCCACAGCCACCTCACTGTAACAGCCCACGGTGATGCCATGTTTCGTTTGTTGTTTGGTGTGGCAGCTTTGTGGCATAGTCACACTAGCACTCTTGAAGATTTCAGTGAATCCAGGGAAATGGGAATGTTTCGTAAGAGAATATGTTGTACTAAATAATTTAATCCCCTCATCAACCTGTGAGGTAGATACTAAATTATTCTTTTTATAAATGAGGAAACTGAGGCACAAAGAAGTTAAGTAACTTGCCCATCATCACACAGATATCAACATTTCTTTTAATTCCCTCGAGATGAACTGAAATAGCAAGAAAGCAGGGGAAGTAGAGTAGTAAAGATTAGGTTGTTGGGGGCCAATCTCAGGTATCAAATGGCAGAATCAGTCCTCCCAGGGACCTTCCCTTCCATCACGCTGAACTGTGCCAGGAAAAATTGTGAAAATCTTTGAAATGAACAAAAATATTACTTGGTATCTTATGTAGTATATCTTTCCTGTTTATTTCTGTGTTTGAGCTACTTTACAACTCTGTACTCTTAGAATACTGATAGCAGTACAAAAGATTCTTGTCCATGGAAATGCCAATTGTGTCCTGTAGAGATGCAGTTCATTATTGCCATATAGATATTGATAGATACAGATACCAGCCAATTGATTACAGCATTTCTGACGGCCTATACATGTGTGTTTTTTAAAAAATTCTCCTTTGAACTGGTTATAACATTCTCCTGTTTCTCTCATTAATGAGCAAATTGAATAGAATCTTTGGTATATATTTGCTTTATATTTATGTAAGAGTCATGATTTGCCTTTAAAAAATATTAACCCTTAACATCTGCTTGGCCTTCCTGCGTGTGCATGTGTGTCGTATGTGGTTCCTCCTGCATGGAATGTTTTGCCTACTTCATCTAGATCAAGGATCAGCACTCTACAACCCACAGGTGCAGGCTGGCCACTGCCTGCTTTTATAGGGCCTGCAAAGTAAGAATGGCTTTTACATTTTTAAATATTAAGAAAAAATTTTTAAAATAGCATTTTGTGACATATAACAATGATATGAAATACAAATTTTTGCACTCACAAATAAAGTTTAATTAGAACAGTCTAATTGATTATCTGCATATCGTCTACAGCTGCCTTGTTTAAGCTACGATGGCAGAGTTGAGTAGTTGTGAGAGACCATACCACCTGCAAAGCCAAAAACATCCGCTAGCTGACACTTCACAGAAAAAGTTTGTTAAGCAATGGTCTACTTCATGCTGCTAGAGTCTCAGCATCACCTCCAGGGCATTGTCCCTACCCCTCCATTCTGGGCTGCGTTTCCCCTTCCTGATGCATATAATACCCTGTGTGTGTGTGCAGCCATTGCCGTCCCTGCTATGTGGCTGACTCTCTCCTTATAACTCCACACCTAGTCTGTAAAGCCCTGAAGGACGTGGGTTTTGTCTTATTTACCCTTCCATCACCAATGCCTAAGATAGTGACTGACACATAGTTTGCACTCAAAATTTGGGTTTGTTATCACTTAGAAGCCATTGCCATTTGAATTTATTGAATTTTCTGCTTTTCCAAACTGAATATTTCCCCTTGTATTAGTTCCCTTTTGCTGCTGTAACAAAATTACCACAAACTTGGTGGCTGAAAACAACACAAACTTATTATCTTACAGTTAAGAAGGTCAGAAGTTTGGAATTAGTCTAAGCTAAAGCCAAGAGTTGGCAGGTCTGGTTCCTTCTGGAGGCTCTGAGGGGAGAATCCATTCCCTT